CCGGAATTCTTACTGGTTGGTAGGTGATCAAATACTTATGTCATGCAATAAAATGCAAATGAATTACTTAAAAATCATACAATGGGATTTTCTGGATTTCTGTTATAGATTCCGTCTCTCACAGTTGAAGTGTACCTATGATAAAAATTACAGACCTCTACATGCTTTGTAAGTAGGAAAACCTGCAAAATCGGCAGTGTATCAAATACTTGTTCTCCCCACTGTATGTGTATATATATATATATATATATATTCACTCACTCACTCACTCACTCACTCACTCACTCACTCACTCACTCACTCACTCACTACCGGTCAAAAGTTTTAGAACACCTACTCATTCAAGGGTTTTTCTTTATTTTACTATTTTCTACATTGTAGAATAATAGTGAAGACATCAAAACTATGAAATAACACATATATGGAATCATGTAGTAACCAAAAAAGTGTTAAACAAATCAAAATATGTTTTTTATTTGAGATTCTTCATATAGCCACCCTTTGCCTTTATGACAGCTTTGCACACTCTTGGCATTCTCTCAACCAGATTTTCCAACAGTCTTGATAGACTGTATAAGTGATTTAAATACTTGGGTGGCTCAAAACATCCTCCAGCTAAATCAAGACAAGACTGAAATAGTTATTATTGGAGCCAAAGCACAAAGCGAGCATCTGGCCGCATATTTAAATTCACAGGCAATAAAGATAAAACACCAGGTAAAAAACCTAGCTGTCATTTTAGATTCTGAACTCTATTTCGAATCACACATTAGGAATGTGACCAAAATAGCTTTTTACCACCTGAGGAATATTGCCAAGGTGCGACCGTTTCTATCTCCGGCTGATACAGAGAGACTCATCCATGCGTTTATTACAAGCAGGCTTGACTAGTGTAATGCTCTCCTGTCTGGTCTACCAAAGAAAGCCATTGGTCAACTGCAAAGCATACAGAATGCTGCAGCACGGGTACTGACCAAAACCAGACGGAGAGCACACATTACACCTGCACTGGCAGACTGTGAGTTTTAGAATTCATTTTTTATTCTATTGGTTTTTAAATCAATCCACAATTGTGCACCCCAATACATATCAGACATGCTTTTGAGTTATGTACCCAGTAGGTCCCTCAGGTCCTCTGTTACTGGCCTTTTAACTATCCCAAGAGGCATGGAGAGGCAGCCTTTAGTTACTATGCCGAAACTGTGGACATATTTGCATTAATGTCTGAAATGTGCTTTAGAAAAGTTTGATTTGATTGTTCTGCTGAACGGTGAATTCATCTCCCAGTGTTTGGTGGAAAGCAGACTAAACCAGGTTTCTTTTTTTGTCCTGAAAAACTCCCCAGTCCTTAACGATTACAAGCATACCCATAACATGATGCACCCACCACTAGGCTTGGAACTTGAAAATATGGAGAGTGGTACTCAGTAATGTGTTGTATTGGATTTGCTCCAAACATAACACTTTGTATTCAGGACATAACGTTAATTTCTTTGCCACATTTTTTGTAGTATTACTTTAGTGCCTTGTTGCAAACAAGATCCATGTTTTGGAATATTTGTATTCTGTACAGGCTTCCTTTTCACTCTGTCGATTAGGTTAGTACTGTGGAGTAACTACAATGTTGTTGATCCATCCTCAGTTTTCTCCTATCACAGCCATTCAACTCTGTAACTGTTTTAAAGTCACCATTGGCCTCATGGTGAAATCCCTGAGCGGTTTCCTTCCTCTCCGGCAACTGAGTATTTTTTAAATTTATTTGTTAACCCCTATGGGACTCCCAATCACGGCCGGATTGTGATACAGCCTGGAATCGAACCAGGGTCTGTAGTGACGCCTCTAGCACTGTGATGCAGTGCCTTAGACCGCTGCGCCAACCGGGAGTTAGGAAGGACGCCTGTATCTTTGTAGTGACTGGGTGTATTATACACCATCCAAAGTGTAATTAATAACTTCACCATGCTCAAAGGGATATTCAATGTCTGCTTTTTTATTTTTACCCATCTACTAATAGTTGCCCTTCTTTGCGAGGCATTGGAAAACCTTCCTGGTCTTTGTGGTTGAATCTGTGTTTGAAATTCACTGCTCGACTGAGGGACCTTACAGATAATTGTATGTATGGCATACGTTTAAAAAATCATGTTATACACTATTATTGTACACAGAGTTAGTCCCTGCAACTAATTATGTGACTTGTTAAGCACATTTTTACTTCTGAACTTTAGACTTGCCATGACAAAGGGGTTGAATACTTATTGACTCAAGACATTTGAGCTTTTCATTTTTTATTAATTTGACATTACGGGGTATTTGTTTGTGTACGCCAGTGCCCAAAAATCTTAATCCATTTTAAATTCAGGCTGTAACACAACAAAATGTGGAAAAAGTCAAGGGGTGTGAATACTTTCTGTATATTATCATTCGCAATGCAAAAAAAAAAACGTTCCTACATTTCCGCGCAGCAGGCCAGGTAATTCTGTGTGCTCAGGCGCACGCGCTCCCTTTTTTAAAATTTAAAAAAAAAATTTTTTTTGGTCATTTAGCAGACGCTCTTATCCAGAGCGACTTACAGGAGCAATTAGGGTTAAGTGCCTTGCTCAAGGGCACATCGACAGATTTTTCACCTAGTCGGCTCGGGGATTAGAACCAGCGACCTTTCGGTTAATGGCACAACGCTCTTACCCACTAAGCTACCTGCCGCCCTAGGTCAACATTATCATGACAGAGAAACCAGACACATGCGCATTGCTCACATGGAGCACTCCAATCAAAAGACAATGAAAAAATTGACACATCTTGTAAGTGATGGTTATGAAATAAACCAAAACTTTGTTTCTCACAAGTATAGCAGGTTGTGAACTCTGTAAACAATGTTTCCACTCCGAGAATGAGAAAGGTAAATGAATGTAATTAATACATGCATTAACAGAAATGAGTGTAACCAAGTGACGGGGATTAACAGTACATTTACTCCTGGTAACATACTGTATGTAATGGGGAATTGTATTTATTTTTATTTTTATGAAAGGGTAAACAATTCACACAATGAAACAATAAATGCGCAAGAATTGGCGGGAGACAACGGAGTCATTCTGGAGAGAGACTCGCCTATAACTTTGCCACACACCCCTCCCTTTCTTCTTGTCTCAACATTTTCAATTATACTCCAGACACATTATCTTAACGCATATTTTAGCCGCAACGCAATAATCAGGTAGACCTAATGGCAGGCCTGGAATTTCGTGATTTTAGGGTCAAGGCCATTTGGCCTTCAACAGGTGCCCTATCTGCCAGGGCACCAAGGCCATTTTTATATGTACGTCATTTAGCAGACGCTCTTATCCAGAGCGACTTACAAAATCTAATAGGGCACCAAGGCCATTAACCAAAATAGCCAATTAAATTGATTTGAAAACCGGAAAACAGTAGCTATTCTGCCGTGTACACATTGCTGCGCTTATAATGTGAAGAAATAGCCTATTAGTTTTATCATTATTTTAAGCTAAACGTTCTGATCTGTTGCATCAGCCTCATTGCTTTTAAAAGGTTTTTTGATGTACTGTAGTTGTATTAATTTGGGATCTATCACGTTCCACAACTGTCCCAGAGTATGTTTGGAATATTTAGAATAGGTCAACCTTTGTACAATGGGGGATAGTAGATTGACATAGGCTAGTGCTTTTGCTGTTTGTTAGGCCTACTCATCTTCTTGGCTGATGAAAAGGAAATGTGGACAGTTCTTCTAACATCTTCAATATGCAATTCGGAATTTGATAAGAAGGACACGCCGTTGCATCCCCGATGTGTCGGTCTTCACTTGTAGCCTACTTCGGAGCTGCGACGCCTGTGAGAAGGACCCGTTCACTTGACGGGCATTTGCTAATAAGAATTGAGATATCTGAGAGAGCCATGTGAGTGAGCGGTGCACGGCGATTGGCAGCCAGGAGAAGGGAATTATTATATTCAGCCAAAGGGCACAATGGGTACTTTGGCCGCAAGGCATGGATTCTTTTAGGTGGCATTACAGCAACACAAGGGGGCATCGATGGCCATGGCCGTCGATTCCACCGGGAAATTTGAGGCCTGCCTATTGCCATGCGTGCTTCCCAAATAGGCACAAGCATATAAGCTTGTGATTTGAAACAATCCATATACATTTTTTAAAAGAAGCTAATGATCCTTGATTCCTCTGTGGCTAAGTCATTCTTTCTGTTTAGAATTGTGTTTTCCCGCGAATTGCATTTTGTCAAATTTGAAAATTATGTTTTATTGGCTGCTTCATTAAATGAGTTGTGTGTTCTGTTAAGAACATTACCATAATCTAAATGTGATTTCTGTCATTCTGAGCACCATAGGTGGATGCCATAATGGGTTATGCACCCAATACATATAGGTACGCAACATTTCTCAAATGGACGGTAAATTAAAATCTTCACGGTCACGTCCGGCACCACATTTTCCTAATGGGAACCCTGCTATGTACGTATTGGTAGGGTTAAAGTGACTTGGCAACAGGCTAGATAATAGACCGAAGCAGCAGCGTATATTGTGTATGTGTGTCGGTGTAAGTAAGTATGTGTGTGTGTGTGTATAGAGACAGTGCAAGAGTTACTGCAAAAAAATAGTTAATGCAGGTAGCCATTTGGTTAGCTATTTAGCAGTCTCATGGCTTGAGGTTAGAAGCTGTTCAGGGTCCTGTTGGTTCCAGACTTGGTGCACCGGTACCGCTTGCCGTGGGCAGTACTCACCACCCTCTGTAGCAACTTGTGATCAGATGCCTTGCAGTTGCCGTAACAAGCGGGGACGCAGCCAGTCAAGATGCTCTCAATGGTGCAGCTGTAGAACCTTTTGAGGATCTGAGGGCCCATGCCAAATCTTTTCAGCCTCCTGAGGGGGAAGAGAGGATGTCGTGCCCTCTTCACAAATGTGTGTGTGTGTGGGCCATATACTGGGAACCAAGGGAATGAGACAGGGTTTTTTTGTGCAACTTTGCCTTGCAGGACCGGGTGATCATCAACCGCCTGGACAGTATCTGTCACGCCATCTTGAAGGGGAAGTGGCCCTCTTCCAGCCAGCAGTATGACTCTCCCAGCTCTCTGGCAAACACCTGTGTGCCCAACAGTGTGCACCAGAGGGCTGGCTTCATCTCAGCCAGGGTACAGCCTTCCCAGAGCCTTAACTTCAACATCCCAGCCCCGCCTGTCACCCGCCTGCCCAAGGTGACTAGCCCATTTTCATGCTTTGTCCCTTTCTCACATCATAATTCATAACCATCGTTGTGGAAATTATTATTTGATGTTTTTGTGGATATTCACCTTTCTATTGTCAGTATTCGTTGTTAATATTCTTCCATTCTTCTTCCATTTCCATCCTGTTCAGTACAAGCAAAGAGGTGCCGGGGAATGCAGCCCGGGAGGCTGGAGGTTGACATCCTTGCCTCTCTTGCAGGAGAGGCTGGTGGCGCCGCCCTATCTGCCCGAACTAAAGAGGGGTAGGCGGTCGTTTGAGTACGAGGGCGTGGTGCTCAGTAAGCAGTGCCACACAGGGGAGAAGATGCCCGTAACGGTGCCGCACAGAGGCGGGGCGCTGCTGCTCAACGGCTGGCAGGAGGCGGCCATGGACCTCTCCAAGGCCGGGGATCTGGGCATTGGGGGCGAAGTGGCAGCCACTGTGGGCCACATGAGCCACCAGGTCCACCCCAGTTCCCACAAACTGCCTGCCATGGGCGCCATGCAGAGTGTCATTCAGAGTGCCATGCAGGGCTCGGTGGGAATGGACATGGCCGGGATCCTGCAGGCAGGTCTCATCCACCCCGTCACCGGCCAAATCGTCAACGGCAACCTGAGGCGCGACGACGCCATCATGCGCCGAAGGAGAGGCAGACGGAGAAACGTGGAGGCAGTCGACATGGGGTTCGTCAAGAGCAGAGGAATGCACGTGCCGGAACAACAGGTTTGCCAAGTCAGAAGTGCTTTTGATTTTGTGAACAGCAAAAAGGACAGCTTAATGATACTAGTTTTCTGCACCTCCTGGTTTTGATGATCATTACTGTGGACCTGTCCCCCTACCAAGTTCAGGGGGAAGGAAAATAAAGTTGACTCTTGTGGTTTCGTGCTTGGAGGAGGCAATTCATATGCATTGGTATGCAAGGTTGTAGCACTAGCGCTTCATACTAGAGTTGAGTGGTGAATCAAGGACATCTGTTTACAAGTTTTTTCCTCTACAGGGCAGGGTAGAAGTCATCAGCCATTCTGCAGTGTCGTCCACCTCCTCCCCACCGGAACGCCCCCCGGGTCCCTCCACCCCCACCCAGCCAGAGGTGGTGGCCATCGACAGAGAGGCTGCCAACAAGGGCCTGATGGAATGGCTGCGGCAGAATCCCAACTACAACATGGAAGTGCCCACTTTCGCACCGGTAAGTTGATCCATTGTCAACAACAAAAAAATCTCCAGGAATCATAGTTGGAGGATTCCCTCTCCGTTGGAAGATTACTGGAATCAAGAGGGAATAAGCAGGGGGAGGGAACCGAGATTTCTGAAAAACGTGTGAACTTGTGAGAAAGTTTCTGTTTAAGAGGGTTCAACTCACCAGTCTCTAGGTTTTATAGTAAGATAATGTAGTTTAGTTTATTAGGATCCCCATTAGCTACAGCACATGCAGCAGCTACTCTTCCTTGGGTACACACGAAACATACAAATACATGAGAAAGTACAGACCAGTAATAGACAAGAACAACATAATTAAATTCCAAATAAATTGTTTTAATGTAATATCTTAAATAAGAGTGCATTCTGAAAATATTCAGACCCCTTCCCTTTTTCCACATTTTGTTACATTACAGCCTTATTCTAAAATTGATAAAATTATAATTTTTTCCTTATCAATCTACACACAATACCCTATAATGACAAAGCGAAAACTGGTTTTTAGAAATTGTTGCTAATTCTTTTCAAATGTTTCAAAAATAACAAACAGATACTTTATTTACATACGTATTCACACCCTTTGCTATGAGACTCGAAATTAAGCTCAGGTGAATCCTGTTTCCATTGATCATCCTTGAGATGTTTCTACAACTTGATTGGAGTCCACCTGTGGTAGATTCAATTGATTGGACATAATTTGGAAAGGCACACACCTGTCTATAAGGTCCCACAGTTGACAGTGCATGTCAGAGAAAAAACCAAGCCATGAGGTCGAATGAATTGTCCGTAGAGCTCCGAGACAGGATTGTTGTCGAGGCACAGATCTGGGGAAGGGTACCAAAAAATTTCTGCAGCATTGAAGGTCTCCATCATTCTTAAATGGAAGAAGTTTTGAACCATCAATATTCTTCCTAGAGCTGGCCGCCCAGCCAAACTGAGCAAACGGGGGAGAAGGGCCTTGGTCAGGGAGGTGACCAAGAACCCGATGGTCACTCTGACAGAGCTCCAGAGTTCCTCTGTGGAGATGGGAGAACCTTCCAGAAGGACAACCATCTCTACAGCACTCCACCAATCAGGTCTTTATGGTAGAGTGGCCAGACGGAAGCTACTCCTCAGTAAAAGGCACATGACAACCCGCTTGGAGTTTGCCAAAAGGCACCTAAAGGACTCTCAGACCATGACAAACAAAATGTTCTGGTCTGAAGAAATCAAGATTGAACTCTTTGGCCTGAATGCCAAACGTCACGTCTGGAGGAAACCTGGCACCATCCCTACAGTGAAGCATGGTGGTGGCAGCATCATGCTGTGGGGATGATTTTTCAGCGGCAGGGACTAGGAGTCTAGTCAGGATCGAGGCAAAGATGAACGGAGCAAAGTACAGAGAGATCCATGATGAAATCCTGTTCCAGAGTGCTCAGGACCTCAGACTGGGGCAAAGGTTCACCTTCCAACAGGACAATGACCCTAAGCACACAGCAAAGACAACGGAGTCTCTGAATGTCCTTGAGTGGCCCAGCCAGAGCCCGGACTTGAACCCGATCGAACATCTCTGGAGAGACCTGAAAATAGAGGTGCAACGATGCTCCCCATCCAACCTGACAGGGTTTGAGAGGATCTGCAGAGAAAATGTGAGAAACTCCCCAAATACAGGTTTTCCAAGATTAGCTTCATACCAAAGAAGACTCGAGGCTGTAATCGCTGCCAAAGGTGATTCAACAAAGTACTGTGTAAAGGGTCTGAATACTTATGTAAATGTGATATTTCAATTTTTGTATATTTAATATATTAGCAAAAATTTCTAAAAAACTGTTTTTGCTTTGTCATTATGGGGTATTGTGTGTAGATTGAGATTTTTTATTTTTTTAATCAATTTTATAATGAGGAATAAGTCAAGGGGTCTGAATACTTTCCGAAGCCACTGTCAGATACACACACACAAAAGTATGTGGACACCTCTTCAAATTAGTGGATTCGGCTATTTCAGCCACACCCGTTGCTGACAGATGTATAAAATCGAGCACACAGCCATGCAATCTCCATACATAAACATTGGCAGTAGAATGGCCTAACTGAAGAGCTCAGTGAATTTCAACGTGGCACCGTCATTGGATGCCACCTTTCCAACAAGTCAGTTCGGCATATATCTGCCCTGCTAGAGCTTCCCCGGTGAACTGTAAGTGCTGTTATTGTGAAGTGGAAACATCTAGGAGCAACAACGGCTCAGCCGAAAAGTGGTAGGCCACACAAGCTCACAGAACGGGACCGCCGATTACTGAAGCGCGAAGTGCGTAAAAATGGTCTGTCCTCGGTTGCAACACTCACTACCAAGTTCCAAACGGCCTCTGGAAGCAACGTAAGCATACAAACCTTTTGTCGGGAGCTTCATGAAATGGGTTTCCATGGCCGCACACAAGCCTAAGATCACCCTGCGCAATGCCATGTGTCGGCTGCAGTGGTGTAAAGCTCGCCGCCATTGGACTCTGGAGCAGTGGAAACTATTTCTATGGAATGATGAATCACGCTTCACCATCTTGCAGTCTGACGGACGAATCTGGGTTTGGCAGATGCCAGGAGAACGCTACCTGCCCCAATGCATAGTGCCAACTGTAAAGTTTGGAGGAGGAGGAGTAATGGTCTGGGGCTGTTTTTCATGGTTCTGGCTAGGACGCTTAGTTCCAGTTAAGGGAACTCTTAACGCTACAGCATACAATGACATTCTAGACGATTCTGTGCTTTCAACTTTGTGGCAACAGTTTGGGGAAAGGCCCTTTCCTGTTTCAACATGACAATGCGAAGTCCATACAGAAATGCTTTGTCGAGATTTGTGTGGAAGAACTTGACTGGTCTGCACAGAGCCCTGACCTCAACCCCATCGAATGCCTTTGGGATTCATTGGAATGCCGAATGCGAGCCAGGCCTAATCGCCCAACATCAGTGCCTGACCTCACTAATGATCTTGTGGCTGAATGGAAGCAAGTCCCCGCGGCAATGTTCCAACATCTAGTAGAAAGGCTTCCCAGAAGAGTGGAGCGTGTTATAGCTCAAATGGGGGACCAACTCCATATTAATGCCCATGATTTTGGAATGAGATGTTCGACGAGCAGATGTCTACATACTTTTGGTAATGTAGTGTATATACACTGAACAAAAAAAATATAAACGCAACATGTAAAGTGTTGGTCCCATGTTTCATGAGCTGAAATAAAAGATCCCAGAAATGTTCTGTATGCACAAAAAAGCGTATTTCTCTCAAATTGTGTGCACACATTTGTTTATATCCCTGTTAGTGAGTATTTCTCCTTTGCCAAGATAATCCATCCACCAGGTGTGGCATATCAAGAAGCTGATTAAACAGCATGATAATTACACAGTTGCACCATGTGCTGGGAACAATAAAAGGCCACTTTAAAATGTGCAGTTTTGTCACACAACACAATGCCACAGCTATACTAGGGTTTTCTTTGCTGCACCTGACCATATTACCGGACAGTAATCAAAGATGGGACAAGACCAAAGCCTGAACAACTAGTACAGCAGAACATCTTTCTATAACAACATAACTCTCCCCATCTTCACAACAACTTTGTCAATATGACTTGAACATGATAACTGACCATCCAGTGTTGCTCCTAGGAGTTCAGCTTCGTTAACTTGTTCAATGGTCACAATTTATACAGAACTCCAGTTGAGGTTTAAGAATGCTTTGAACCAAATACAATGCTTTTGGTTTTGTGTGTTTTAAGACAAATGTATTGTTAATTGCCCATTTTGACACCGACTGTAACTCCTTGCTAAGAGTCTGTGAGCTCACTGGCTGTAGGTGCTGATGTGTAGAGTGTGCAATCATCAGCATACATAGTAGTTTGAGCTTCTTGTAAGACAAGTGGCATATCCAGGCAACTGCCCTGAGGTATACCACACTGTGTACATATATGATGTTAGAGAAGCTTCCATTGAAGAATACTCTTGATTTTCTATTGGATAAGTAACTCTCCAACCACGTGATAACAGGTGATGTTGTTGTAGTGTGCTGATCTTGTCAAATCTGGGGTTTCAGTCTCCTGGCGCAGCGATGTTGCACAGCTTTGTGGAGCGGCCCAAACAGCGGAGACATCGCTGCAAAGACCCCACCAAACTGGACGTCAACTCCCTAACAGGGGAGGAGAGGGTGCCCGTGGTTCACAGGAGCACTGGCCGCAGGGTAACCTTTTTGACACCACCACACACCAACACTGATGCACAAGCACACTTAACATCACTGACATTAACCAGGTTTCCATCCAACCATTTTTATTAGAGTAAAGTACCTGTCGGATAAAAAAGCGTATGTTTTAGCGCAATGTTCCAAATGCCTGCATCGCAAGAATCTAGTTTTATTTGAAATGTTTAATTGTTCTGATTGTTTGTCTTTTTCATCTCGTCTCTTTTGCCCCTAATGTTAGCAGTTGATGTTATTCTTCAATAACACAGACCCCAAAGCAAATCAGGGGGAGAAAAATATATTTATTCAAAGAGAACAAATCATAGTTGTTATGCTGGGAAGTAGATGGTAGATGTTCATTCTTCCCTGTTCTCAATGTTTCTCCACTGAACAAAGAGACAGGATGTAGTTTATAGCCTCAAGTCTAGCATGTGGCTGACCTATTCATTGCAATAAAATTGGGCTACTGGCCAAACCCCCAAGTATCCTGTTTCAGGCTCCATGTATAGACCATTTGGACCTATTAGAACTTGCCACATGTAGCTATGAGTCGCTGGTTGGAACCCCTACAAAGATTCTAAACCTATGTTGAACTGAAAAACAACGCAGAGGACCACTAGTCCTCTTACATTTACATTTTAGTCATTTAGCAGACGCTCTTATCCAGAGCGACTTACAGTTAGTGAGTGCATACTTTTTCTTTTCTTTTTTTTATACTGGCCCCCCGTGGGAATCGAACCCACAACCCTGGCGTTGCAAACGCCATGCTCTACAAACTGAGCTACATCCCTGCCGGCCATTCCCTCCCCTACCCTGGACGACGCTGGGCCAATTGTGCGCCGCCCCATGGGTCTCCTGGTCAAGGCCGCAGAGCCTGTATGCCTCTTGACCCCTAGTCCTCTTGACTACTAGTCCTCTTGACCACTAGTCCTCTACGTTGTGTATATTTACAGTGGGGGAAAAAATTATTTAGTCAGCCACCAATTGTGCAAGTTCTCCCACTTAAAAAGATGAGAGAGGCCTGTAATTTTCATCATAGGTACACGTCAACTATGACAGACAAATTGAGGAAAAAAAATCCGGAAAATCACATTGTAGGATTTTTAATGAATTTATTTGCAAATTATGGTGGAAAATAAGTATTTGGTCACCTACAAACAAGCAAGATTTTTGGCTCTCACAGACCTGTAACTTCTTCTTTAAGAGGCTCCTCTGTCCTCCACTCGTTACCTGTATTAATGGCACCTGTTTGAACTTGTTATCAGTATAAAAGACACCTGTCCACAACCTCAAACAGTCACACTCCAAATTCCACTATGGCCAAGACCAAAGAGCTGTCAAAGGACACCAGAAACAAAATTGTAGACCTGCACCAGGCTGGGAAGACTGAATCTGCAATAGGTAAGCAGCTTGGTTTGAAGAAATCAACTGTGGGAGCAATTATTAGGAAATGGAAGACATACAAGACCACTGATAATCTCCCTCGATCTGGGGCTCCACACAAGATCTCACCCCGTGGGGTCAAAATGATCACAAGAACGGTGAGCAAAAATCCCAGAACCACACGGGGGGACCTAGTGAATGACCTGCAGAGAGCTGGGACCAAAGTAACAAAGCCTACCATCAGTAACACACTACGCCGCCAGGGACTCAAATCCTGCAGTGCCAGACGTGTCCCCCTGCTTAAGCCAGTACATGTCCAGGCCCGTCTGAAGTTTGCTAGAGTGCATTTGGATGATCCAGAAGAGGATTGGGAGAATGTCAGATGAAACCAAAATAGGACTTTTTGGTAAAAACTCAACTCGTCGTGTTTGGAGGACAAAGAATGCTGAGTTGCATCCAAAGAACACCATACCTACTGTGAAGCATGGGGGTGTAAACATCATGCTTTGGGGCTATTTTTCTGCAAAGGGACCAGGACGACTGATCCGTGTAAAGGAAAGAATGAATGGGGCCATGTGTATCGTGAGATTTTGAGTGAAAACCTCCTTCCATCAGCAAGGACATTGAAGATGAAACGTGGCTAGGTCTTTTAGCATGACAATGATCCCAAACACAATGCCCGGGCAACGAAGGAGTGGCTTCGTAAGAAGCATTTCAAGGTCCTGGAGTGGCCTAGCCAGTCTCCAGATCTCAACCCCATAGAAAATCTTTGGAGGGAGTTGAAAGTCCGTGTTGCCCAGCGACAGCCCCAAAACATCACTGCTCTAGAGGAGATCTGCATGGAGGAATGGGCCAAAATACCAGCAACAGTGTATGAAAACCTTGTGAAGACTTACAGAAAACGTTTTACCTGTGTCATTGCCAACAAAGGGTATATAACAAAGTATTGAGAAACTTTAGTTATTGACCAAATACTTATTTCCACCATAATTTGCAAATAAATTCATAAAAAATCCTACAATGTGATTTTCTGGAGGGAAAAAAATCTCAATTTGTCTGTCATAGTTGACGTGTACCTATGATGAAAATTACAGGCCTCTCTCATCTTTTTAAGTGGGAGAACTTGCACAATTGGTGGCTGACTAAATACATTTTCTCCCCACTGTATCTTAGTGTAAGAATATTCAAACGATACCCTTTTTATGTCTCAACTCCCAAAATTTAGAACATAGCAGACCCTAATAAAATGGGAGTATCAGTGAACATGACTGTGGAATATTAATGCTCAGTTTCTGTCGCAAGCAGCATTGCGGTACCACGCACCGCTAGCAGCATTTTAGCCACATATTGTTATGCACTAGCTGTCTAGTCTGTGTTTTATAAATGTGCAGTGAGCATAAAAATACACATTTATATACGAATTGGCAACTCGTTCTCATTCTGAGAAATAATCATCTTCTCCATGTAGGCCACTTGATTACAACATCTAAACAAAGTGAACAGGCCATGTTGTTCAAACAGTTGGAGACATACAGGAGGGTGTATTCATAACAGTTCCACTGTTCTACCTTGTTAACAAGCAAATAGATCCAAGTTGGCTTTAAATATAAAGATTAGCTGGCTACTCACTAGCACGTGGGCTTGTGCTTGAGAGATTGTTTATGAGACGTGTTAATTTTCTATAATACCTTTTCATATAAGGTATTTTTATAGACAGACTTGAAAGCCAGATCAGTGATTATTGCAGGAAAGCAGGTTAATCTCCTAGAGTCGATGTCCACTCCCCCGCGAAAATTGAATTAGCATAATAAAATAATCCCCATATAAATCTGTCAGTTTAAGCTAGAGATATGTTTTTTTTTTGCATTGGATGTGTCTCAATCCACCGCATCCGCCGATGTTGCATTTACGCATCTGCAGTGAAAGGTGACAGAGCTAGAGCATCTATAGAGTCCAAACAGTTTGGGCTACACACTAATAGCTAAATGATCCTTGGTATGACCTTCTTAAAACAATACCATATAGCTTATTAAGCTTATTAAAATCTAGATATACAGTGCATTCGGAAAGTATTCAGACCCCTTGACTTTTTCCACAATTTGTTACGTCTGAATACTTACGTAAATAAGGTATTTCTGTTTTTAATTTTTAATACATTTGAAACATTTATAGAAACCTGTTTTCGCTTTGTCATTATGGGGTATTTATTGTGTGTAGATTGAGGATTTTTTTTTATTTAATCTATTTTTGAATTCAGGCTGCAACTCAACAAAATGTGGAAAAAGTCAAGGGGTCTGAATACTTTCTGAATGCAATGTATATTGTGAATCGCCCAGCCCTACGACAGGCCTGACAGTAACAGCAAATTGTGGGTAAACTTTCCTAAATGTCATCAAACCAAAATACGTTCCTCAGGGGTGGATAATTTTTTGGTCGGTGAATTAGATACAGTGCCTTCAGAAAGTATTCATACCCCTTGACTTATTCCACATTTTGTTGTGTTGCAGCCTGAATTCAAAAAAAAATATATTTTTAATCTAACCAATCAACACACAGTACCCCATAATGACAAAGTGAAAACATGTTTTTAGACATTTTTGCAAACTTATTGAAAGTGAAATACAGAAATATCTCATTTAAATAAGTATTCATACCCCTGAGTCAATACTTTGTAGAATCACGTTTGGCAGCGATTAAAGCTGTGAGTCTTTCTGGGTAAGTCTCTATGGGTAAGTCTCTAAGAGCTTTCCACACCTGGATTGTGCAACATTTGCCCATTATTCTTTCAAAATTCTTCAAGCTCTGTCAAATCAAAGCTAGACAACCACTTTCAGGTCTTGCCATAGATTTTCAAGTAGACTTAAGTCAAAACTGTAACTCGGCCACTCAGGAACATTCACTGTCTTCTTGGTAAGCAACTCCAGTGTAGATTTGGCCTTGTTTTAGGTTATTGTCCTGCTGAAAGGTGTCTGGTGGAAAGCAGACTGAATCAGGTTTTCAGCTTGGATTTTGCCTGTGCTTAGCTCCATTCCATTAATTTTTTTATCTTGAGAAACTCCCCAGTCCTTAACGATTACAAGCATACCCATAACATGATGCAGCCCCCACTATGCTTGAAAATATGGAGAGTGGTACTCCGTAATGTGTTGTATTGGATTTGCCCCAAACATAACACTTTGTATTCAGGACAAAAAGTGTATTGCTTTGACACATTTTTTGCAGTATTACTTTAGTGCCTTGTTGCAAACAGGATGCATGTTTTGGAAAGAAAATTCTGTACAGGCTTCCTTCTTTTAACTGTCATTTAGATTAGTATTGTGGAGTAACTACAATGTTGTTCATCCATCCTCAGTTTTCTCCTATCACAGCCATGAAGCTCTGTAACTGTTTTAAAGTCACCATTGGCCTCATGGTGAAATCCCTGAGCGGTTTCCTTCCTCTCCGGCAACTGAGTTAGGAAGGACACCTGTATCTTTGTAGTGACTGGGTGTATTGATACACCATAAGTGTAATTAATAACTTCCCCATGCTCAAAGGCTTTTTAATGTGCTTTTTAAATGTTTTACCCTTCTACCAATAGGTGCCCTTATTTGCGAGGCATTGGAAAACCTCCCTGCTCTTTGTGGTTGAATCGGTTTGAAATTCATTGCTCGACTGAGGGACTTTAAGGATAATTGAATGTGTGGGGTACAGAAATGAGGCTGTCATTCAAAAATCATGTTAAACACAATTATTGCACACAGAGTGAGTCCATGCAACTTATTACGTGACTTGTTAAGCAAATGTTTACTCCTGAACTTATTTAGGCCTGCCATAACAAAGCGGTTGAATACTTATTGACTCAAGACATTTCAGCTTTTCATTTTAAATTAATTGGCAAAATGTTCTAAAAACATAGTTCCACTTTGACATTATGGGTATTGTGTGTAGGAAAGTATTCAGACCCCTTGACTTTTTCCATAAATTGTTACGTTACAGCCTTATTCTAAAATGGATTAAATAAATACAAATCCTCATCAATCTACACACAATGCCCCATAATGACAGGTTTTTAGGAATGTTTGCAAATGTATTACAAATAAAAAACAGAAATACCTTATTTACATAAGTATTCAGACCCTTTGCTATGAGACTCGACATTGAGCTCACGTGCATCCTGTTTCCATTGATCATCCTTGAGATGTTTCTACAACTTGATTGGAGTCCACCTGTGGTAAATTCAATTGATTGGACATGATTTTGAAAGGCACACACCTGTCTATATAAGGTCCCACAGTTCCAGAGTGCATGTCAGAGCAAAAACCAAGCCATGAGGTCGAAGGAATTGTCCGTAGAGCTCCGAGAGAGGATTGTGTCGAGGCACAGATCTGGGGAAGGGTACCAAAACATTTCTGCAGCATTGAAGGTCCCCAAGAACACAGTGGCCTCCATCATTCTTAAATGGAACCACCAAGACTCTTCCTAAAGCTGTCCGCCCGGCCAAACTGAGCAATAGAGGGAGAAGGGCCTTGGTCAGGGAGGTGACCAAGAACCCAATGGTCACTCTGACAGAGCTCCAGAGTTCCTCTGTGGAGATGGGAGAACCTTCCAGAAGGACAACCATCTCTGCAGCACTCCACCAAGCAGGCCTTAATAGTAGAGTGGCCAGACTGAAGCCACTCCTCAGTAAAAGGCACATGACAATGGGAGTTTGCCAAAAGGCACCTAAAGGACTCTCAGGCCATGAAAAACAAGATTATCTGGTCTGATGAAACCAAGATTGAACATACCCACAGCATGATGGCAGCATCATGCTGTGGGGATGTTTTTCAGCGGCAGGGACAGGGAGACTAGTCAGGATCGAGGGAATGATTAACGGAGCAAAGAACACAGAGATCCTTGATGAAAACCTGCTCCAGAGCACTCAGGACCTCAGACTCGGGCAAAGGTTCACCTTCCAACAGGACAACGACCCTAAGCACAAAGCAAAGACGATGCAAGAGTGGCTTTGTGACAAGTCTCTGAATGTCCTTGAGTGGCCCAGCCAGAGCCCGGACTTGAACCCGATCGAACATCTCTGGAGAGACCTGAAAATAGCTGTGTAGCAATGCTCCCCATCCAACCTGACAGAGCTTGAGAGGATCTGCAAAGAAGACTCAAGGCTGTAATCGCTGCCAAAGGTGCTTCAACAAAGTACTGAGTGAAGGGTCTGAATACTTATGTAAATGTAATATTTCAGTTTCTTTCTTTTCATATACATTGGCAAAATGTTCTAAAAACCTGTTTTTGCATTGTCATAATGGGGTATTGTGTGTAGATTGATGATGGGGGAAAAAACAATTTCATCAATTTTAGAATAAGGCTGTAACGTAACAAAATATGGAAAAGGTCAAGGGGTCTAAATACTTTCCGAATGCAGTGTACAGTTTATTAGGCTACAGATGGAATAGGAAATTCACAGGGTGGTGAAAGTGCATGCTGAGCTTGAGGCTAATTTCCAAATACATTTTGAGGGTCTTAATTTGTATGCTGGTGACAGTGTTTGGCTGCCATTTGACAAATACAAATGATCTTGCTTTTATCCATAATCTCATCACCCTCTGCACTGTGCCCTGTCTGTGAGCTGTTGGCTACACCAGACCAGAGTTGCCACATTTGTTTATCGCAAAACCTTTTGTGGCAAAACCATCGACCGTTAAAAATGGGATTGAAACGTATAACTTGTTTTTTTATTTGGTAAATGAAAAGTTATACAACAAAGTGCTTTTTATGTGGTTTTTTTAATCACAAGACAATTTGATGGAAACATTACAATATTCACTTGAAAATCTAGCTACTTAACAGGTGAATTAAGACACTTCTCCCCACCCAATTTGTACTACTTCACATTGATCAAATACACTCGTTTGATAAGACATAGCTGTCAGGAATTTGCATGAAATGTAATGTTTATGACTTGCTTTGACAAGACAACAGCCTGAATTATACACAAATGCATCAGTTATATTTATGGTATGTGTGTGTGTACAACTCATTAAGGGCTGTATTTTCTTGTGCTGTAGCTTGGGGGTGCTATGGCTCCAGCAATCAAGGAGCTCTCCCGATGGCTGGATGCGAATACGGAGTACTGCGTGGCACCCGACTGGGCAGATGTCGTGAAACACTCTGTGAGTAGCATGGCATTTTCACTCTCTCTCATCCACACAAGTGTCTCGTCAAATAGTTTCATTAGAATGCTTCCATTTTTAATTAGACATTTGATCATCTTGAGTAGTGCAGCCAGTTCTCAGAACCTACTGCCTTACAAAGAGTACAGATGTCCTTCAAAACCCTTCCTGCATTTTCCTCAAGTTAATGGCTTGTGTTTCCAGGGCTTTCTTCCCGAGGGTAAGTTCACCCGCATACTCACCGAGCCTGTGTGCCGCGACCAGGGGCCCCGCCGCCGGGGCCGTCGTCCCCGCAGCGAGATGCCCAAGCCCCTCCTCTCTGAGTCACCCATGGGCCCACTCTTCATGAACGGTAGCCTGATCGGCAGCATGGACTTGGTCAGCCTCCAGAACCTCCGCAATGTCCAGGGCATCCCGCTCACGGGCCTGATGGGATTCCCCCATGGCTTCGCCGTGTCAGCCGGTGAAGACTCCAAGAACGGCCTGAGCATGCTTCCCATGATGCTCCACGGCATACACGGCTCCCCCCACATGTTCAGCGTTCAGGGGCTGATGGGGCAGCCGCCCACCAGCTCCGCTCCAACCTCCTCCTCTTCCTCCTCAGCGGCTGCCGTTACCACCACCGCGGCCAGTAGCCCCTCCCGAGGCCCCAGCCAGTCGTCATCGAGCACACAGGCAGATGGCTCCGGCATTCAGTCTGGCGGAGAGAGAAAGAGGGAGGACAAGCAGTCGACAGAGGATAAGCAGCAAGGTGCGATGGGCAGCCACAGCATCGCAGCCATCACCACCACTGCGGCAGCCAGCAGCAGCAGTTGCGTCAGCAGTAGCAGCGGCAGCCACCTGGCCTTCAACCCTTTCCTTGTTCCGGGGATGTCCCATGGACTGCTGTACCCTCACATGTTCCTCCCGCACGGGGGCATCATGGCGCTGCCAGGTATGCCGCCCACAGAGTCCTCCGGCAGCCCTAAGAGGAAGAAGAAAAGAACAAGGGAGGAAGGGGTGATGGTGGTGGAGGCAGGCAGCCACAGCCACTTACAGACGGACAGTGGGCCTCCGAAAACACCCAGCAATGGTCAGACTGGGGAGAGCACGGTTGACCAGGCCGGGCAGGAGGCTAGGCAGCAGATGGAGGACAAGGTTCAGGAGGAGGGCACGGGACATGACTCCCATGCTCCTCCAGAGGTAAACCCAGAGAAGAGCGTTGAAGAGGAGAGCGAAACGGAGGAGAATAGAGTGATGGAGAAGGAAAAACTGCCTGGAGAGGAGGAGGAGGAGAGAGAGTCAAGGGGGGCACAGGATTCACAATAGACTTCTTCTTCTCCCTCTTTCTTACCGTGCAAAAGTGTAAAGTTTGTGGTGTATAAGTTGACGTTCATGTAAAGACTTTTATTATCCACTTATTAATGTTTATAGAGCTCCTGCCCTGTAGAAAACGTGTGATTATCTAATACTGTATATACCCACACATGCTCCATTCAAGAACTTAATGAAAGAAATGTAAAGTGATGGACACTCCTGCATGCAAACACACACTTGCAAGCGACGGAAGGGAGGAACTGCTAAACAGTATTACATGGTCGTAACAGATCAAGCAGCCTTGACGGTCTGCTGCATCATGAACGTGGCACTTTAAAGCTGCAATATGTAACTTTTTTGGCGACCCGACCAAATTCACATAGGAGTGGGAGTTATAGATCTGTCATTCTCATTGAAAGCAAGTTTAAGAAGCGGTAGATCTGTTCTATGTGCGCTACTTCTATGCTTCCCGTTCTTAAGTTTCGTTTTTGCATCTTTTACTTTCAGTTTTGTACACCAGCTTCAAACGGCTAAAAATACAATATTTGGGGTTATTGAAAATATATTTCACAGCGGTTTAGATGGATCAATGATTCTCTACACAATACATTGCTTGTTTTGTCACATAAACGGAAATTAGGCAAACTATTAGAATTTTAGCAAACAGAAAATGGCGGAGCGATTTCTGCACATTGCACCTTTTAAGATGCCTGGTATGTCCTGGTTGCTAAAATGTGAATCTGGGGGCCTATTTGACTGAGGAGGAGAAGGATGTGAAAATATTTTTTCCTACCAAAACATGCTGACAGCACTCCTGGGTTCAAAGGTAGCTACAGTATAGAGCTAGGTTGTGTTCATTAGGGCACGCAATGGGAAAACATTGTAAAACATTTTGCAATGGAAAATAAAAATGAGCGTTTCTTATCGGACAAGTCCCACCCTGTTTGTCAGTTTTTTATCCATTTGGTGCCTAATGAACAACCCAGAAAGATGTAGCTGTCCAGGGACTACTGACCCCCCAGTTTCCTTGATGGTGTTAAAAGGGTTATCTGAATATCCCCCTAAAGTTGTTTCACATCCGAAAGCATAAAACTAATGGCAATTTTAATTGAAGGTCCTTCAACATGTGTTTAATTTAATAATTATATAAATTGAATAGCAATGCATGCAAGGTAGCTTGCAGCCCCAAGTTTGAGTAGTAACATAACTGCTGCAAATAACTTCTTTTAAAGGACAGCTTTTGTCCATCCCTATTTGTTTTGTTGTTGCTGCTATGTAAACATTTTTAAATGAAAAAAAAATATGTATAACAAATTTAGAGAAAACAATGTTAGTATACCCGATCGAGAGAACACATTGAGTATGACAAAAACATTTTTCTAATACATACATATATATATATATATATATATATATATATATATATATATATATATATATATACATACATACACAGCTCTGGAAAAAAATTAAGAGACCACTGCAAAAATATAAGTTTCTCTGGTTTTACTATTTATAGGTATGTGTTTGGGTGAAATTAACATTTTTTGTTTTATTCTATAAACTACTGACAACATTTCTCCCAAATTCCAAATAAAAATATTGTCATTTAGAGCATTTATTTGCAGAAAATGACAACTGGTCAAAATAACAAAAAAGATGCAGTGTTGTCAGACCTCAAATAATGCAACGAAAATAAGTTCATTTTTAAACAACACAATACTAATGTTTTAACTTAGGAAGAGTTCAGAAATCAATATTTGGTGAAATAACCCTGATTTTCAATCACAGCTTTCATGCGTCTTGGCATGCTCTCCACCAGTCTTTCACATTGATGTTGGGTGACTTTATACCACTCCTGGCGCAAAAATTCAAGCAGCTTGGTTTTCAATGGAGTTCAGGTCTGGAGATTGGGCTGTCCATGACAGGGTCTTGATCTGGTGGTCCTCCATCCACACCTTGATTGACCTGGCTGTGTGGCATGGTGCATTGTCCTGCTGGAAAAACCAATCCTCAGAGTTGGGGAACAATGTCAGAGCAAAAGGAAGCAAGTTTTCTTCCAGGACAACCTTGTACGTGGCTTGATTCATGCGTCCTTCACAAAGACAAATCTGCCCGATTCCAGCCTTGCTGAAGCACCCCCAGATCATCACCGATCCTCCACCAAATTTCACAGTGGATGCGAGACACTGTGGCTTGTAGGCCTCTCCAGGTCTCCGTCTAACCATTAGATGACCAGGTGTTGGGTAAAGGTGAAAATTGGACTCATCAGAGAAGATGACCTTACTCCAGTCCTCTACGGTCCAATCCTTATGGTCTTTTGCATACCTCAGCCTGGCTTTTCTTTGCTTCTCGTTGATGAAGGTCTTTTTTTCTAGCTTTGCACGACTTCAGCCCTGCCCCTAGGAGCCTGTTTCGAACCGTCCTCGCCGTGCACTTCACCCCAGCTGCCGTTTGCCATTATTTTTGTAGGTCACTTGATGTCATCCTACGGTTGTTGAGTGACATTCGAATGAGTTGGCGGTCATCCCGGTCAGTAGAGAGTCGTTTTCGCCCTCTGCCGGTCTGTAGCTTTGTTGTCCCCAATGTCTGCTGCTTGACCTTGTTCTTATGAACCGCCGTCTTTTACATTTTAAGGATGGAAGCAACCTGACGCTCACTGTATCCCTCTGCCAGTAAAGCCAGAATTGAACCTTTATTTTCCTCACTCAAAACCTTCCTTTTCAACTCTTTTGGCATGGTCAATAGTTATTTTTTGATTAATATTACTTTTGAGGTAATATTAGCACTGTTTTTACCATCCAGCTGGTCCTATTGCAAGAGGATAGTGATGACCACAGCAGTGGTTTTTATACTTTTCCTTGTTAAATAAGATTTCGTTCAGGTGATCACCTAATCAGTACCTAATTCAGTAGAATGAGGTGTGCCTGTGTTGGAATTCAACAGACACTGGAATGGAATGGCTGTCATACATGTAGAGATGCTGATTTAAGAACATTTGCAGTGGTCTCTTAATTTTTTCCAGAGCTGTACATACATAAATACATACAAACGTACGTACATACATATGTGTGTGTGTATATATATATATATATATATATATACAGTGGGGAGAACAAGTATTTGATACACTGCCGATTTTGCAGGTTTTCCTACTTACAAAGCATGTAGAGGTCTGTAATTTTTATCATAGGTACACTTCAACTGTGAGAAACGGAACCTAAAACAAAAATCCAGAAAATCACATTGTATGATTTTTAAGTAATTAATTTGCATTTTATTGCATGACATAAGTATTTGATCACCTACCAACCAGTAAGAATTCCGGCTCTCACAGACCTGTTAGTTTTTCTTTAAGAAGCCCTGCTGTTCTCCACTCATTACCTGTATTAACTGCACCTGTTTGAACTCGTTACCTGTATAAAAGACACCTGTCCACACACTCAATCAAACAGACTCCAACCTCTCCACAATGGCCAAGACCAGAGAGCTGTGTAAGGACATCAGGGATAAAATTTTAGACCTGCACAAGGTTGGAATGGGCTACAGGACAATAGGCAAGCAGCTTGGTGAGAAGGCAACAATTGTTGGCGCAATTATTAGAAAATTGAAGAAGTTCAAGATGACGGTCAATCATCCTCGGTCTGGGGCTCCATGCAAGATCTCACCTCGTGGGGCATCAATGATCATGAGGAAGGTGAGGGATCATCCCAGAACTACACGGCAGGACCTGGTCAATGACCTGAAGAGAGCTGGGACCACAGTCTCAAAGAAAACCATTAGTAACACACTACGCCGTCATGGATTAAAATCCTGCAGCGCACGCAAGGTCCCCCTGCTCAAGCCAGTGCATGTCCAGGCCTGTCTGAAGTTTCCATCTGGATGATCCAGAGGAGGAATGGGAGAAGGGCATGTGGTCTGATGAGACAAAAATAGAGCTTTTTGGTCTAAACGCCACTCGCCATGTTTGGAGAGAAGAAGAAGGATGAGTACAACCCCAAGACACCATCCCAACCGTGAAGCATGGAGGTGGAAACATCATTCTTTGGGGATGCTTTTCTGCAAAGGGGACAGGACGACTGCACCGTATTGAGGGGAGGATGGATGGGGCCATGTATCGCGAGATCTTGGCCAACAACCTCCTTCCCTCAGTAAGAGCATTGAAGATGGGTCGTGGCTGGGTCTTCCAGCATGACAACGACCCGAAACACACAGCCAGGGCAACTAAGGAGTGGCTCCGTAAGAAGCATCTCAAGGTCCTGGAGTGGCCTAGCCAGTCTCCAGACCTGAACCCAATAGAACATCTTTGGAGGGAGCTGAAAGTCCGTATTGCCCAGCGACAGCCCCGAAACCTGAAGGATCTGGAGAAGGTCTGTATGGAGGAGTGGGCCAAAATCCCTGCTGCAGTGTGTGCAAACCTGGTCAAGACCTACAGGAAACGTATGATCTCTGTAATTGCAAACAAAGGTTTCTGTACCAAATATTAAGTTCTGCTTTTCTGATGTATCAAATACTTATGTCATGCAATAAAATGCAAATTCATTACTTAATTTTTTTTTTTTGATTCCATCTCTCACAGTTGAAGTGTACCTATGATAACAATTACAGACCTCTACATGCTTTGTAAGTAGGAAAACCTGAAAAATCTGTATATACACGTATGTATATGTGTGTATGTATGTGTATGTATATATGTATACGTATGTATGTGTATATATACGTATGTGTGTACGTATACACGTATGTATATATGTATGTGTGTATGTATACATATGTATTTATATTTTAAACGGAAGGCAAAGAACAATCCTACATTTTTGATCATGTTTTTTTTTGTTATT